CCATTCCTGATGGCGTATAGCCTTGGGTGTAAAGGAAACTGGTTTGTTACCAGATGGATGCTTAATTCTGTACATCGGTCTGACTAGACCAGCATGCGTGGGGGAAATGCTGCTGCGGAGGGTTTTCAAATGCGTACATAATTTTTGAATTGGCAGAGTTAGAGTAATGCAAACTACGTTGCAGATTGTGGAGTGAAAGGGGGCAGGGATGCCTGAAGACAGGACTCTTCCTGCACGCTGCCTCCACACAGGGCTGCAGCAGCTGTTCCTCCAGGGCTCTCCTAAAACTGCGTAGACAGATTCTTCGGATCTCAATCCTGCCCCTGCCCCTGCCCCTGCCTCTGCCCCCATTTGTTCTCTTCCTCTGAAGAGCTCTGACTAATACAGTTGCCAAGAGGCAAGTCGTTCTGAGAAGAGACACACGAGGAGTGGGGTCAAGACAACCATAGAGGACAGAAACAAGAGCCTGGATCAGAGCAGTCTGAAACTGGTCCCTACCAATCAAGGTAAATTCAGTACCAAGCAACAGAAAATCCACTGCCGTAAGCCCCATGGAAACTGTGTGTGCCTCAGAAAGTAGAAACCCGAGGGGAAGAAGAGACTCTGGGGTCAACTGCACCTTGCCTGAGTTCAATGACTCACCAGGAGGTGAGTTCTGTCCTTTTCTGTTTCACTGCCCACAAGGCTTCATCCCAGCCTCAGGCTCTCCTACTTACTGGTTAAAGCCATCAGAACCACCCACTTCCTCCTTCAGTTCTAGTAGGAGAGCCGGGATTTCACTGGTTCTCCGAAAGGCAATGCTGGATCTTTCCAGTGCGGCACTCACCCAGACTGAGGGAGGTTTGCCTATCCCTGAACTTTCTCTATCAGGGGTAGAAGAGAAGGGATTGCATAGTGGGTATAACTACCAGAACCTTCCCTCAGAGCCTGGATTCTCCCTCCATCCGCATGGCAGCTACATTGCTGTGGAGGGCTGGAATGGGTACCGGATGGGCTGAATAATGCTTTGTGCCCCACTAGGACCTTTCCACTACAAATTGTCATTTCAAAATAATTCTGAATTGGATTATTAGTGGTAATAATAACCAAAGTCTCCTAACTCTTGACATATCCCATTCTCAGGATCTGGTGATTCGATGAAATCATATTTCTAAGGCACCAGTGTAAAAGATCAGTCCTTAAATCATAAGTCCTTAGGCTATGTCACCCTGTGAGACCCTGTTCCTCCCGTCCATATATCCCATTCACCCTCCTTTTGTCCGTCCAAACCCTAAAATCGCCTGGCTCCATTCATTCATTTATTTGTACCCTCTGAGCTCTAGACTCTATAAATGACTACTATCTGACATACCCTCCTCCTAGAACCCTGACCCTTGTCATGTCATGTCCGTGCACAGGTCATCTATCCAGGCTTATACCCACTGCCTGCCTCCCTTGCTGCTATTACTAGGATCTTGGAGGACAAAACACTAATATTCAGAACCAGATGAACTTGTAATTTCAGTCTCATAATCACCTTAAGAAATGAAGCCTGAATCTGTCCCTCACAAATGGGGAAAGAGTGACCCAGGCGAGTTCAAAAGCTTGGCCAGGTCTATGCTACCAGGGCGGTTTTGGTCCCTGGTTTTGGTCTTTGCAAGCCTGCATTCTTTCCACTGCTCCATGGAAAATCACACTCTTCGGTCTGTGATACAATCTGTGGTCCAGGATGTGTCTGGTCCTGGTTGGGGGTCTGTAGCCCCAAAGCATATTTGATTGACTTCTTATCATAGCACCTGTTTTCCAGACCCTCCTTCATTCCTACACCCCATCTATTGTCTTTCTGGCATTAGGATTGGGAGACAGTGGCTTCCTGCATCATAGAGAGACCCACTCCTGTGTTGTGAGCTGTGTGTGTGTCCACCACTTCACCGTGATGCATCACAGCGTCCTTCCTAACTCCTCTACATGATCAGAAGACATGACCATCAAGTCTCCCAAATACCTTCTATTCTCCCCGCGTGTGAAAGCTCACAGTGTATCTCAGGGTCTCCTGGAGCTTTCTGCTTCTTTACTTCTCTCCTCCAACCTCCTCCCAAACTCAGTCCACCGTGTTTATCCTTCGATAAATAACATGCCTTAAGCCTTCTACTCCACCTGCCCCTAACATGCCCACACACAAAGATTCCCAGAGACGCTGAGACTGACCTCTTTCTGAAGCAAGAGCCTCTTCCAGTGTTTTTCTCCTCCTGTTTCTGACAAAACAGTCCACCCACTCTTTGAAACTGAGTTTTCTGTGACACTGTTGCTTCCCAACATTGGTGTCCCATCCCCCGCCCCAGTTCTCTCACTGCTCTTGGGCCACCTCTCTTGGCTGGCCCATTTGCCTTTGTCCCCCTTTTTCTTCCCCAGGTAGCTCCACTTCCTCCTTGGAGAAGTACATGCATCGTTAGTTTAGAAACCCACGCCTATATTGGTCACTAGCAGTGTATCTACAACCTTGACTTTCAGTGGTCTCCAGGACCGGTCCTCCTGCACGCCGCACAGTATCTCCGGGTCAATCAATGTCTTTGTGTCGTCTTCCAGAATGACCTCCCGTTTCAACTGCCATATAGCTGTGTTGCATGTTTGGATTCCCTGGCCCCAAACCTTAGTTTCAGTGTGTCTAGATTTTTATTTTACTTTCTTTTCTTTTCCTTCCTTATTTATTTAGTCCCCATGGCCTTTTATTTCTTTTCTCCAAATTCTCAAAAATTTGCCTTTCTCCCTCTAACTATGAAGGGAAAGGAAGGCTGACAAACCATCTTAGTCTCATATTCCCCACCTCGCCTCAGTATTGCTGCTGCTACGGTGTCCCTGCCCCATCCTCTGGTCTCCAGACCCTTGACCATTTCAAAACTCAGCAATCCTCTCTGCTCCTGTTCTTCAGGAACATTCTGCAGTCTTCCCTTGCCTGCTGTGGCAAATCCCTGGTGTGCCAGCAACCTCCCTGATGGTGTCCCTGCAGCCTCCCTCCTTCAGAAAGAAGCAGCCTTCTGAATCGCACCCCAGCTGTTACTGAGCTGGACAGATTCTGTCTGCTCCTTCTGCGGTGTCGTGTTGCTACTGCAACCATGAAAGACCTGATTATTTTCCCACATAGGGCTTATATCGATACGATTCTTCAGTGTGTTCATCTGCTATGGAAAACAGGAAGAAATGGTCACCCAGCCCTGACCTTGAGCAATCTGCCAATCAGTAAGAGAAGGCAGGCATTTACAAACAACAATGGCTCCACCAGAAGAGGGTGTTTCTAAAAACCAATCACACAAAACAGAAGTTCTTATCATAAGATCACCTGTGGATGTTCCTTGAATATCCAGATGTCAGGGTTGGCAAGATTGTTCACTGGGCAAAGGTGTTAGCAACCCAGCCTGAATTTGATCTCCAGAACCAAACTGGTAAAAAGAGAGAACCAGTTCTCACAAGTTACCTTCTGACCTTTCACACCCATGCTAAATAAATAAATAAATAAATGTTAAAAACTAAAAACCCAAATGCTTTATATGTGCGTATATGTACACACATGCACACACACTGAAAGAACCTTGCTTTTCTGCCTCTCCTATGCCCTTATGAATCTTTTCACACATAGATTATGCATTATACTCTCATGTATTTGTATATGAGTATTTATATATGAGTATTTATATATATATATATGTGTGTGTGTGTTTTACAAAAATAGAATCATACATACATATTATCCTGCACATTTTTCTCACTGAAAGTAATCTTCTTTGGTGATAGACCCGGTCCCTTCGATTTGGGGCTACATAGCTGCAGTGTTCTCTGGCACTTGCCTTCCCCTAGAGATAATCCCTGACTCCTATAAATTCTTCAGTGAGCATCCTTCCACACAGTTTTTCATTTTGTGTCGGTAAAGTTCAGTAGCTGAGTCTCTAAAATAAAACTAGTAGCCACAATTTCTAACATCTTGCCTGTTTTCATGCTACAAATACCCCCCACTCAATGTAATTCTAAGACACCACCAGAGAACCATGGAAAGGGAGCTAGCAGCCGTGCAACGTCAGCCCGGGCTGGCAGGCGCAACAGCTCCCGTACCACAGATTATACTGCGGGTGTTCTTCTGCGTGTTTCACAACACGGGAAAGGAAAACATTAAAAGGCAATTATCACTTGCCAGACAAGAGAAGCATAGCTATCTTATTAGCTGTAATAAAGTGGGGCCGTGATTTAAATGCATTCCCGCCACAGCCTGAAGAAGGCCCTCCTAGTCTTAAATCGGCTCTGTTTAAACACCAAGGACATTTCAATGCTTTTGGCTTTGTGGCCTGCACGAATTATTTGAGGAAAGGAGACTTGATAGACAACTAAAATATGCTTTAAAGACGCAGTGGAATTAAATCCACCAGTTAGTATATTCTGACACACAGCGAGCTTGAGGAGATCACGCTAACCTCCTCTCTTTGGCGGACTCTTAAGAACAGCCGAATTGCACACAGGTGCACTAAGAACCGCTTCAGCCATGAGGGTACATCAGAATTGCCCATGAGCTTTGCTATCCCACTGTGGCTGGACCATACACACAGGGGTTCTGATTCTGTCGGCCAGGGATTAAGGCCAAGGGTTTACATTTGTCAGATATGTTGGTTATTATAGCAATGCTGGTGATGGTGGTGGTAGGTGATGGTGGTGATGGTAGTGGTGGTGGTGGTGGTGATGATGGTGGCGGCGATGGTAATGATGGTGGTGGGTGATGGTGATGGTGGTGGTCCAGAGACTTCACTGAGAACCACTGTCCACTATATATGAAATCTAAGCCCAAAGCCTAGGATATCTCATATTCCGCCATTATATGATTCTCTACCACTAGGTCAAATTCTTCCAAATACAGACTTTCTTCATGTTAAACCATCAACAAGGACTTTGGAGACACTCAGTGAATAAAATGCTTGCCACACAAAAGCATGCTTGACCAAAAATCCCCAGCATAAGCTTTAAAACCAGACACGGTAGCATACATCTGTAATTCCAGGGTTTCTGGGGTGACATAGGAGGACACGGGGCTTGCTGGGCAGTCAGTCTAGTTAAGCAGTGAGCTCTAGACTCAGTAAGAGACCTTGTCTAAAAATATAAGATGACAAACGATTGAGGAAGAAGTGTGGTGTCGAGCTATGGTCTCCACATATGTGCACACATGTGCACATGCAATCAAACACACACGCACATACAAACATAACATGTATATATACATACACAAAACAGACAAATTTAGAAATACAATAGCTCAAGCTCTTATCAGTAATCAAAGCATTTGAGATCCATCTGTCGGGGGAGAGTAATGGTTTGAATAAGAGTGGTCCCCCACAGGCTCAGGTGTTTGGATAGGTTTGGAAGGTGTAATCTTGCTGGGGGAAGAATATCACTGCGGGGAGTAGGCTTTGCGGTTTTAAAGTTCTTTGTCCTTCCTGTTTACTCTCTCAGATTCCGGTTTGCAGTTCAGGATATGCACTTTCAACTTGCTGTTTCAGCCCCCGTGCCTGCCACCTCCACCCCCATGGACTTTAACCCTCTGGAACTGTAAGCCCAAATAAGTCCTTTCTTCTGTAAGTTGCCTTGGTCAGGGTGTCTTAATCACAACAATAAAACCGTAATTAATACAGGGTGCGGTTCAAACGCCTCCTTGCAGAGTAAACATACTGAGATGTTGTTTTCCTTGAAAGCGGAGTACATGATTACTATTAGTGCTAATAAAGGGGGTTAATTTTCAAAGTCTCAATATCAGTTAAGGAGCTAGGGTTTCTCGTTCACAATCCTGCTGGGCTGATGTGCTCTGGAAGCCAATCCTGTTATTGTTGTTGGATTTACAATAGAACATCGGGCAGGTTATTTAATCTCTCTCCATGCCCTCATGTAGGAAGTGGGGTGATGGTAGTACTAGTTACTTCATCCAGGCACAGGGTGTGATGAGATATGATAGGTACAGACCCTGACACGTGAAGACCTCACTGGGTACCAGAATTGTTGATTGGAATTCCAGCCAAGAAGAAAGCATGCTTTAGGTAAGTAAACGTGAGGAATGATGACTTATTTCTCCACTTTGCATGTGCCATGCACTCTAAGAGTCCTCTAGAGGAAGAAAAATATATAGTGTTTCTAAAGATTACTTAGCTGCGGAACGTTTTATGCAAGCCATATTTTGAAATAATTTTAAGAATATTATTACAATTCTGCTAACAAGCTGTTATTTCTTGGCTTGAAAATGTAGGCACTTGACCTAAGTCATATAGTTAGGATTCAGGTGAAGTTAAAAATCCTTGTTACCCATAAGAATTCCCTATAGGGCACCTGTATCAAAATGTAAATACACAGTGTGTGGGGTTATTTAATGTGATCCTGGGCAAGCACACACAGGACAATCCTCCCATGGCCGTCCGTTGGTGCTAGCAATCAATGTGCCCTCCAATGCCCTTATGCAACAGTGACATTTCCTCCATTTCTTGTCTCATTCAGTATTTCCAGTAATTATTTGTTGGTTGTTTTGAAATAACAAGCACCCTAGGCCCTAGGGACTCAACACTGAATCAGGTATAAAGAGCCCCTGTCCTCTTAGGGTCTTACCTTCTAGAAGATGGCCGATACACAAATAAGCAAGCAAGCTTGCAGTATGTCAGAGGGTAGGTGCTGGGGAAATAGGTGGAACAAAGGGTCAAAGAAGAAATCCATGGAGCGCTGGACCATTTGAACAGAGCCTTAGAGGACATACACAGCGAGCTGCTGGAACACGTGAAGGGGAAGCTGGACCGAAGAGGAGAATCAGAAGTATGTCTGTGTGGCTGAAACCAACTAGGGAAAGCAGCTAGAGCAGGGAAGACTGAACTAGCTCTTGGTTTGGGTTTTGGTTTCTTAGAAAAGGCCTTGCTGTGTAAACCAGGATGGCCCCAAACTGACCACTTGCTGCCTCAGCCTCCCAGGTTATGGGATTACAGTCATGTACACCGTGCCTACTTGGATACTAGCATCTTTTATTGCAGAGCAAATCACTCCGAATTTGGTGGCTTCAAACTGCACTAGCTACTGCTTTCCTCTCTGCGGCTTTTGTGAGTGAGGATTTGGGAGTGACAGCTGGGCAGCCTGGCTTGCTGTTCCTGCTGAGGTTCAGTTCAGTGTCGTCTGGAACTGAACCACAGCCATCACTGGACTGGGCAGCTCCGGAGGAAGTCTGTCAGACAGCTGGCGACTTGGTGTTGGCTGTCGCAAGGGGAGATCAGTTCCTGTCCAGGGGTTCTCGCCCTGGATCTTCTTAAGGTGACTGGCTCCTGCAGGAAAAGGAAATCTAAGAAACTGAGGCAGACACAGCAATGCCTTTTATGGCCTAACTTCGGAAGTCATACACCGAGTCCTGATTCTGCATGAAAGCGTTTCTGCAATTATGAACGTCACAGAGGAAGGGCTCCTGGAAGTCGTCTTGGTACTAGCTGCAGCATCCCACACAATTGTGAGGGTGGTAGTTTTTTCTCTGAGTGGAATAGTATTGTGGTTGGTTTTAATGCCAGAAAGGTATTAAGGTTGGGTTAATGAGAACTTGTCACAATTAGGATCACCTGGGTAGGGAGCCTCCCCGCAGAACTGTCCTGACTGCTTTGATTGACATGGAAAGACCCACCTCAACTGTAGGGCATCTTGTGGTTATAATCTAGTTTCTTTTTAAAGGGGATATAGCAAAAGGAAGAGCATCCTGCCTTTTGCTGACTTGGTCTTCCCTCTTGCCACTGAGTTCATTTACCCTCCACTGATATCAGAACTAGGGCAGTCAAGCTGCCATAGACTAGGGACCATCAGTTCTCCAGGAACCTTCTGGGATTTCAGTGCCAAATAAGAACTGGGCCTTTTGGACTGAGCAACTAAGGGTTGTTACCCCTACCCCAATGAGAGGCAACTGCTATGGCCCTATTTGAACTGGTGAGGTGCAAGGACTAAGTAACCACTGGATTCTCAACTCTCAGGTGTGATTCTGCTATTGCTACTATTTTAAAGGTAACGATATACATTTAATAGATTCAGACAGATAAATAGATTCCATTGGTTCCATTTCTCTAGAAAGCCATGACTCATACAAATTAGGAGCCATTGGGAGTTTGAAGCAAAGGCTATTATGGTTTGTCTTGTTTTAAAGTGGTTTTTGAGTACAGCATGGAGAATCCACCTTGAGCAGGCAAGTAGCAAGAGTGGAAACAAGGAGAAGAGCAAGATGGCACAATGTCCACAATCCAAGAGGGATTATGGAGACTTTGATGTTGGTGGGAATGGTAAAATGGAAAAGAAGTTTCTAGATCTTTCTATATATGCTCTGAAGTTAGGGTCAACAGAAGTATTGATTGATTAAGGTTGGATATGTAAAAATAAGGATCAAAAATGAGGAGGCAGAGGCAGAAGGATCTGGAGAGCTTGAGGCCTGCCTAGGCTATGTAGTGAGAGTTTGTTCCAACAATGCTAAAAGGCTGTTGACTTGAATGAGTGGCCATTGCCCTGTGTTATATCCTGGCGCCAGGCAGCTCCCTTGTCATGGCAACTCACTGAAGTGGGAGGGAGCTGCCAGAGTATTGACAAAATACTAGCCAAAGTCTGTCTAAAAGGCATTGATCCAACACACTGACATTTTGAATAAAAGGAAGCAAGTGTCATTTCCAGTGAAAAATAAAAACTGTTGCAAAAATTAAACCGAGGCATGTGTAACTATTTCTGCAGCTGCAGTAGCTGTGCAGCTTCTCTGTCCCATGTCCTCCTTCCTGGATGACAAAACAGTGTGTTTCATCTTTTGTTCCAATTTCACATTAACAGAAATTCTGTCAACAAGAGGACATGCTCAACCATCACACAACTTTAAAGCTTTATTATAAAGGCAATCTTTGTTTAAAACTTTTAACTTTTCCAAGCACTGTTTTCTCAGCAGTAAAACCACAAATTTAAAGCCAGCCTGGGGTACATAGCAAACTCCAACCTGGTTTGCAATAAGGATCTGTCCAAAAAAAGTTGTTTGTTTGATCTGATGTTGAACACTTCGTGTAGAATCCTAAATCCTTTTGGAAAGCATCACTGAGTAGAACAATATTGAATTTATAGATTATATTTATAATATAATTTCCTGGAAGTATAAATATATTTCCTGATCTGTTCTAAACTGAGTTTGTTTTGATCTAACGTCTCGAGGTTCTTAGATTGGTGAAATGGTGTTGCTGAAGCTAAGATTTCACGCTTAGCTATCAGACCAGGTCCTTCAATGTGCTCTCGTTCTCCCATTACCCACACGCTCTTTCAGTATTCCACTCAATCCTCGTGCTCTACACTGTAAGGGACGCAGAGATGCAAACACATCATTATCTCAGGCAGCTTCCAGGACACTGGGGAAGACGGATGTGAGAGCTGGAAAGCCACGACTGTAGAGAAAGGATGGGGCACTGTGGCAACGTGGAGAAGTCCTAGTTCTGCCTTGATTACCACTCAGCCAAGACCAGGAGCACTGTGCTCTCAGAGAAGTAGGAACAAAACAGGGAAGGGACACTGAGTGACCTGCCAGCCAACTCAGGAGGGTGGAAAGGTGAGAAAGAAGGTGGCGTGTAGGGAGCAGAAGAGAGCCTGAATGAGTGAGGTCCTGAGTGATGCGTGTTGTTGACATGGGCATGGCCCTGTCAAGGACCCTATGGCCTCAGAGCCTTGCAGGAATGGCAAAGCCTTCTCCCCAGGGGTAAGGCTCAGAGGGAAATGGAGAGGTATTCCCTTCTGTCCTGTGTGGGGATGTGGACAGTGTGTGCAGAAAATGGCCACCATGCTTCCCCATCCCCAGATATGTACAGACTAAAGACTGCCCCCCTACAAAGACAGCCCCTGCTGAGACGAGCTAACCCTACCTCCTCGCTCAGCCGTTTACCATAGACCCCGCCTTCTTTTTATCTATATTCAATTACCCTGCCTCCTTGTTCAGCTGTATACCAAAACCCACCTCTCCGTTCAACTGTATGTAATACACATTCTGAGCTCCCAGGATGCTGAGGTTTCTCCATCCCAGTACCACTCCAGCAGACCCCTGCTTTGCTGTGTGTCTGTCTGTCATTTCTGCATTCCTTCCGCACCCCTAGGCAGGTCAAGTCCCTGGTGCTGTGCACAGATGCAGCAGTGAAAAATGAAAAATAAGTAAAGAAAAATCTGGTACCAGCCCAGGAAATGTTTAAAATGTCAAGGAACTCCCATTTTACTCAGAAGATAATGGATACTCACTGTGCAGATTAAAGCTGTACCGTACAGATTCTTGTGTCTTGAAAAGGCTGCTCTAGCTCTGGCTCAGAGTACGGACTCAAGCAGAAGGGATGGAGTCAAACGGTTGTCTCCCTTCTCGCTCACCACCACGTCCCATCACTCGTCTCTGAAACCAGAGATTCCGCGTCTCAGAATCTCAATCTGTTCTCATGAGTCAATGAAAAATACAGTTCAGACCAGGTCACTTCCATGCGTGAATGATGCTTTGGTGTGCTCTTTTTATTAGAACAATGATTCACAAATCCTTGCTCAGTCTGGTCAAAGAATCCACCCAGATTCAACAGCACCTTTACCTTCTGTGCTACTCCTGTTTATTTTTCGTTTCCTCCCAGGAAACAGGCTCTCATTCTTGCTCCTCAGGAACTCCGGATACATTATTCTCAACATCTGGAGAAATGGACCCCATCTGTTCACGCCTTTAATTCCCATTTAAACCAAACCAGCTCCTTCTTAGAGATGTGATCCGTTACCACCTCTTCAAAAAGAAATTCCCCCTCCCCTGCACACACATGCACACGCACACACACGCACACACATGCACACATACACACACACTCACACACACATACACATGCACACACAGTGACTTCTCCCATTGAACCATTCCTCTTGTTAAACTTTCAAGAGCAGCCTTTCCCACTGGGCTGAGCTTCTTCCCACCTTTCTCTCGTTCATGGTACCCCACTATCCAGCAGGACACTGGCTCAACCTGCCACATGAGATCTTTGTACACTGAGTAAATGAATGGAAACAGGAAAATGTAGGTTTTACCTGAACTCAGGGTGAAAACGGCAGAATCTAAGTAGAGAATGCATTGGGTTTTGGGTAACCACAGTGACGACACTTGGACCTTGACTGTCAAAGAATGAGAGAACTGGGGGAAAGGGTGAGTCCTCCTGCATGCAATCCTTGACTGAATGACTCTTGAACAGCCTGGGAGACACAGCAGGGCACTAAGTGTTTGTGTCAGTCACTGAAATAGGCTGAGTGGAGATATCACCATGTTTCTGGCCTTGGCTAATGAGGCTGGGGGCGGGCTTTTCCAGATAGGGCTGCAACAACTTTCTCAGCTGTCTGTTTTCAAATATAGATGTTCAATAAAAGTATCAAAACGAGAGCCTAGCAATACAGAAGGAAACAAAGTATGAGTGTGTGTACACTATTGTGAGGCTGAATTCATTATTTTGTGGATGTGTTAGTTTAATACTTTACATTTGAACCAGATATTTTCACATTTTCTTTTAGAATAATTTGGTCTGATAGACTTGAGTTTCTGGCTCTGGCCAGCTGCAGTTCGGGGCAGGTGATTCCTGCAAGCTGCAACTGATTTAAATGAGCAAAGAAAATCTGTCTTAAGAGCTAAGAACGGCAGATTCCATAGAAGCCCTCTCTCATGACCAGCTGTGCATCTCCCATCAAAATCGCAGCGTGTGGAAAATGTCCTGGACCACGAAGGTGATGAGAGAGCACAGCATACAACATGGTGAATGGATGCCGTTAAGACATGTTTTAAAAATGGTTCCAGCAGTAAATGTTATGGTGTGTGCCTTCCTCACACACACACAGACTAACACAAAACATGTGTTCCCTCAAATTAAAGAATTCAACCACATTACGCAACTTAGATAGTTCAGAAATATGAGCACTTCACTCTGTGTGTGAAATGCATCGGACTCACACATGTGTGCCCAGTGCTGGGGATGCTTTTCTGGCAGTGACCCTGAGGTCTGGCTTCTGAGAAGACAGAGTCAGGCAGGGTGTAATGCAACTTTGAAAATAAGGGCAGAAGACTGGATATTATGATGAAAATGACCCTCTATGCCCACATCAGAAAGGGGCTCTCATTGAGTCTCTCCAAATAGGATTCTCTTTTCTTCTCAAGAGACTAAGAAAGAAGCTCAACCTAAGGCATTTACACTTATATTACATTTATGCACACACACTCACTCACAGAATACACTCAAACACATACACACACACTCACACAAACACACATATTCGCACACTCATACACACTCACAGAATATGCTCAAACACTATACACACACTACACACACACTCATAGAATACACACCACATATATACATATTTACACACTCATATACACATGCACACATACACTAAATAATCAAATAAATAAATGCTCAATTTCTACAGGCCTTAAAATATCCTATTGCACAGTAGAGACTAGTTTTACTCTTACTACTAGAAATTTAGTGGCTTCTGGTCTTTCTGAAACCATGGAAGGAGCTTTGACACATCTTTTTTTCACAAATCTTGAGTCACAGTTTTCAAGAAAATGTAGACTGCTCCAAGCCTCTCACTAGTGTCTGAAGCACGATTAATAAATCTCAGGGTCAGAAATTGGGGTTCAACCTAAAGATCCGAAAAGCAAAACAGTCAGCCACTAGCTCTTAACCTCTACCTCAGTCTGAAATGGCGATCCTGCCTCCAGGAATCTCAGAACGAGACTGTGTGTTGAGAGCTGTTTCCTCCCATTTTATAATCCTCTCTAGGGCTGTGATTAAAGGCGTTCACCACCGTGATTAAAGGCATGCACTGCCCGGTTTCTATGACAACGAGTGTGGCTACTGGGATTGAAGGTGCGTGTCACTGTGGCGACTGGGATTAGGGGTGTGTTACCATAACCCGGTCTGTAAGGCTGACCAGTGGGACTGTTTCAGATCTTCAGGCAGTCTTTATTTAAGAAAATGCAATTGAAATGCCACTCATGTGTCATTTGTGATCATTTCGATCTACGTCCCCCTGAAGTCCATATTGGGAAAAACTAGAGTCTTCCATGAGCCTGCCACATGCTGCTCCTGTCTCACCCTCCCCAACCCACAAAGCACCTTTTATCTTGTAAGAGTTCAGGTTCCAAGCTTCAGTCTCACTGCCTTTGCCATTCATGTTTGAATCTCATCATCTGGTAGCACATTCAGGGTGTGTGTGTGTGTGTGTGTGTGTGTGTGTGTGTGTGTGTGTATGCACGCATGTGTATGTGTGTATATGTGTAAGTGTATATCTGTGTGTGCATATGCCCGCACACACAAGTATACATGTGTGTACCCACATAGGAAACTGTGATTTAATGTCTTTTGTACTTCAAATTCCAACACCACACCTGACATATAATACTCAGTAACTAAGTCAGGGGTTCTCAATCTGTGGGTCGCGACCCTCGCGGAGCTTGTACAATCTCTTCACCATAGTCATCGAAAATCATCGGACAACACAGATATTTATCTTACCGTTCATAATGAAAATAATTTTGTGGTTAGGGTCACCACAATATGAGGAGCTGTATGAAAAGTGCTGCAGCATTGGGAAGGTCGAGAATCAGTGTGCTAAAGGTTTGTCCCTGAAGAAAATTGTCCTTTTAAGTCTGAAAGTCTAACCTCCTAGAAAACCAGAATTTCTATGGGTATCCCAATCTACTGCAAACCCACAACTTCTTTTAAAATAAACAACCTTTCCAGGAAGGAAAGTAATGAAGACTCTTGAAAGTCAGGATAGTACTGAGGACCTATTTATTAAAATAAGGTCATAATCTAAATAAATGCTTTGAAATAAGCTACTACCTTGTGTGAATATTCAGTCTTAGTCACTATTTTAAGAAGGATTGAGCCTTAAGAATCACTTTCCATTCCAACCAACTTCCCAGGTTTTTTTGTGTGTGAGAAAGAAAGATTCAAATGACAAGATTTCATTGTTGTTTGTCAGTTCTAATTATAGGGCTTATGTTTTTAAAAGAAGTGCATATGATCATAATGTCAGCCAAAGATCAGTATGTGTGTGTGTGTGTTGGTATTTAAACTTCTGCCCTTGTCTGATTCCGTTCAGACATGAAAGAGGGACAAAAGGAGAAAAGTTTGATTGGCAGCTAATGTGAATGGAACCAACCTTCTCCAAAGACACGACAGTGAAGTCTGGATAATGGTATAAATTGTGATAAAAGGTGAAAATTTGTCCATTGCCTCATATGGTGTGTGCTCTGTGACTTCATGAATGGAAGAGGCATTCAGATGATTAATGGGTGCTGTGTGGATCAAACCCTTGTGGGTCTCAGAGTCATGCTTGCCTCTCAGGAATACAATGGAGTCCTTTTGTAGCTCTAATGTCACAGGACTGGTGCTACAGCAGCAGGCATAAATGATAGAGCATCCGAAGATTTCCGTGAACCCCTGGGATTTTAAGTCTTACTCTATTATCTTATGTTTTTCACATCAATGTTGTGCATCCCAACTTTTGGAAGCATGACTGCTGGGTAGCCAGATTAATTGTTGTGAACAACATGCGAGGAATATTGCTTCGAATGAGATTGTATCATCTATTCTAGCACATTCTCTAAGCAAACCATAGTAGTCTATAACTAAGAATGGCACTTGTAGAAAAGTGTGGCCTGTCTACGGATGGCTGCTGCCGCTCATTTATCTGCCATACACAAAACAGACGTCAGGAAGTGGTCTTGAGACTAAAGACGAAGAGCAGTGTCTTTAAGCCCCTGAGAAAAGGAGCCAAGCCCTTTCTCTTTCACTAAGGCTAATACAACTTTGCCTTTGCCTAGAACGGGCGATTCTTGGAGGTATGGTTAGGCCTGTCTAGGACTTGGATTGAAGGCTACTCAAGTTTCACCGAAGTCAAGAGAATGCTTGCATTTTCAGCATACCGACACCCACAAATTGCCACCCACTGTCCACCCCACAAACTGCTTCTCAGATGTTGTCCTGGTGCTTCGTGTGTTTATTTTTGCGGCATTTGTTCTTGAAGTCAAAAAGCATCTTTGTTCATGTTTGTATTGAATTCAAAATCCAAATATCTGGAAAGAAGAAACATATTGTTGAAAAAGTAAACTGTCTGCGCTTTGTCCCTGAATAACCAGGGGCTTAAATGGGACAATAGAGCATGACATTTTACAGTTTCTTATAATGAAAGCTTGAGTTTCATCTGGGATTTGGAAATCTTGGAATTTTAAAACATGTAATTTAATTTCTTCTAAGCATTTTTTTCCTGCCACAATATGCAGATTTGAAGTTTTTACCCAGGGTTCTCGGGGGCCTCTTTGATAATTTGATCACAGCTCTCCATTGCTTCAGCGCTTTCCTACTGACCATCAGTAAAGTCCGGACCCCTCACGGCAGCCTTCAACGCCTGCCTCTCCCATGCTTGTCTAACTCCTGGTCTCATCTGGACCACTCACTGCGGCCTCTATCTCTTGCCTCTCCCATGATTGTCGAACTCCCGGTCTCATCTCTTACTCCAGTTCCACATCCAACCATGCTTTCATGCTCATCACTCAGCCCTATTCCAGCATCCCCAGCCTCTACCTCCTGCACCTCCTCTCTTACCCTTTCATACCGTCACCTGACTGAGGGCTCAAGCTCAGGTTTTAGTGGAAAGCGCACCTCACATATTTAGTTTCCACAGGTTACTGGCTGCCCTGTAGCATATAGCATTTCCCCTCCGTGATTGTCTATGTATGTGTTCCTCACTCCCTCAGTGTTCCCTAAGGACGGGTCTGGCACCTACTTCGGCAGTGATGTACCCATGGCACCAACACAGCCCAGAGCTTACAACACTGCTCCAAGGAATGGCGCAAGGTATCTTTCGTTGATAGCAGTGGCAGAGGCTGTCAGAGTTTGCATGCAGCATCCCTGTTTTATAATCTGTAGTTAAGTAGCGAGCAAACACAAATAAGTTTTTCTACTGACCTTGACATAAGGCCTAAAGTCAGAATTGCCTGAATGAGCCTTTGGATGTGAAGA